CGCTGCCTTGGACCCCTGAAGTTGCACTTTCAGGGTTTAGGGTTCAGGGTTTAGGGTTTGGGGACCCGTTTTGAAGATCTTCTAAGAGAATCTGAGGGCCATATTAGGAGAGGACGAAGGGAACCTCTTGGGCGTTACATCCTTAGGGATCCCAGTTTGGCTCCCTGTGAGCACCTTAAGGGTTGAGGGTTTAGGGTTTTTAGGGTTTTGGGCTTTGGGTTTTGGGTTTTTAGGGTTTAGGATTTTGGGCTTGAGGCTTTAGGGTAACTATACACATAGTTTGCTCTTGTTCTTGCATCACTTGGCTAGTCGTATGTGGCAGCAGTTTCAGCGCATTCTACTATTCGATATCCTCACGTCCTTGCAGATTTCTTTCCTTAATTCCCATGTGCTTCCTCATGGTGACATGGGTGCATAGAACAGTTTAAGTGATGTTTTGCGTGATGTGACTTCTAAGAAGTTGCATGTTTGCCGGCAGCCTCCAAAGTTCGTTGCTCAAAAGGGTAATTATGCCCGAAGAACTGGGGTATTGTTCCTTTCAAACTGGGGAAGAAAGCCTGATCTAGGCTGTTGCTCAATACAGAGCCCGTACATCTAGGGTTTAGGGTTTAGTTGACTGCAAGTTCCTGGTGAAGCAGACGCCGGACTAGTCAGAAACCAGAGTCGTATAGTCGAGTTGTCAGGCTGACCGTACTGCATGAGGGTGTTTAAGGTTTAGGTTTTCGGGTTTAGGGTTTATGGTTGGGCCCTTCGAAGGGCAGACCGGTCATGTTCCAGGCGAAAGAACAAGGCTTCCCCAACCTGCAGCACTAGCCCAGTTGAAACTCATCAAGTCCCCATGACTGGAAAACCCCTGCAGCCCCTACAAACCCTCAAGCCCAACCTCGAACCCACCCTGAACCTTACACTCCCCCCTTCCCCTTGCCCTAAACCCGAAGCCCTAAAACCCTAAAACCCTAAACCCTAAACCCTTAACCCTAAACCCAGCCCCAAAAAAGCGGTGAGGCAGCCGCTGCCTGGGCAGCGGCGGCAAGCCCGCAGGCGCTGCTGACGTGGTTTTTGGCCCATAAGGAGCCAATTAGGCCTTAAGTTATCTAGGGCTCCTTCCTAATTTGAGAAGGCATATTCCTTAATGGAGAGGTATTGGGCTCTATGGGTTCTACACTTCAGAGCCCACATGCCACCTGAGATTTTCAAGAAAACCTCTCAGGCTTGGACCTAGATCTCAGGGTCCAGTCTGAAGCTCACACGGGTTTAGGGTTTGGGGTTTAGGGTTTGGGGTTTAGAGTTTAGGGTTTGGGGTTTAGGGTTTCGGACTTTGGGAAACGGGCGGCGGAGGCGAGGGGAAGATTGGAACCCTAACAGGGGACCAAACAGGGAGGGGGGAAACTTTGGCCATCGGCACAGGGAGAGGGAGAAAGGAGGTGGTTCAGGGTTTAGGGTCTCTGAACTTCTTGGTTCGGGCTATGAGCTTCGTTCAGCTTTTACAGTAGCCCCCTGGAGCAGTCACTCTAAACAGGTGGCAAAAGCAAACCTTCCAAAGAGCCCATTACCCCTTAAGTACGGAATGCGCCTCAATTTATACTCATCCTGAATATTTGTTGAAGGTATATTTCTTAATTAAGGAGCACACCTTCATGTATAGAGATCCTTAATACGATTTCAAGTGTGTTTCTGAATTGAGCGGCCTTAGTTAAAGGGCCACTTGGAGTTCATTACCAAACTTATTCGACTGTTTGGGGTTCTAAATTCAATTAAGGATTGCCGACATTCTGAGGACTGTTGCCGGGTTCCTGGGCCCTTTGGCTCCCTTTGTCTCCCTTTGTCCCCGGTTTTCTCCTTTTGTCTCCCTTCGCGTGGGTGGCTTTGCTTTCACGTGGGTGGCTTTGCCGGGTTGCTGTGCTCCTCGCCACCCTTTGTCTCCCTTTGTCTCTCGTCATCTCCATTGCTTCTTTGACATGCCTTTGACTGTTTGGGGTCTTCGCTGGTGTAAAAACTGTTCGTTTTACCCATTTATAACCATGCCAGGGCACTTAAGGGACTTATAAGTGGGTTATCTGTACAGTTATAACTGCTTAATCAGTACCATGAACCTCCAAGTAGCCCTAAACCCTAAACCCTAAACCCTAAACCCTAAACCCTAAACCCTAAACCCTAAACCCTAAACCTTATAAGTGGGTATAATCAGCACCCTTAGCCTCCAAGTAGAGCCCAGGGGCTGCTGACGCGGAGCTCTTCAGGAGCTTTAGCGGTCAGAGCCCCAGCTTGACTCAGGAGGTCGGCACACGGTCATACAGGGTGTGGGGTTTAGGGTTTAGGGTTTAGGGTTTAGGGTTTGGGGTTTTGGGGTTTTGGGGTTTAGGGTTTGGTCATGTTCATGTGCACTGGTGCTGTCGTGGAGCGATGGTGCAGTCGCATTCCCGTCTCAGGCAGTAGCATAGCACGGGTTCATTAGGGTTTAGGGTTTAGGGTTTAGGGCTGTAGGGAGCCCTTGTAAGGACTGAGGGTTAAGGTTTAGGGTTTAGGGTTTGGGGTTTTAAGGGTTTTAAAGGGTTTAAAGGGTTTAAAGGGTTTAAAGGGTTTAAAGGGTTTAGGGTTTAAGTATCATGGCCTGCGAACCCCCAAAGCCCGCAGAGCTCCCACACCAAATCTCCGAAAGCCCCTGTCAACCTTGAATGGCAGATCGGGGTTTACAGGGCTCTCTTGGGTTTAGTGGAAAAGATGCCCTCAGCCCTACTAAACCCTCAACCCTACACGTAGTTCCTTGCGCCCGAAGCTCAAAGGCAGGGGTCTTGCGGTTAGGGGTTTAGGGCTCTCTGCCGCAGTCTGGTGCTGAAGAGAAGGGGTTTCTTCTTGACATGTGCGGGTCTGCTGTTCCACAGCCGTATGAAGCAGGTTCCAGGTTGACAGGGGCGATGAAATCCGGCCGGTAGCCCTGATTCTCTTCAGGGTAGTTGCACATACGCACTTCCCTGTTGAACGATGCTCAAGGAGCCCCCCAAGACTTGTCCCTCATGCCGAAATCATGAGACCTTCGGCTCTTCGGCCATTTTCAGTCGTTCACACCAAGCTTACAGTAGTTTAGGGTTTTTGGGCTAAACCCCAAACCCGGCCCTAAACCGTTCAGGGTCCTGAAGTCTTTACGTACCCTGCGTTCGCCAGACTCGGACCGTTTCTGCAGCTGCAAGGCGCGGGACCTCGCTGTAAGGGCTGGAGAGGGGGTGGGGGAATCAGGGTTTTAGCCTAGTGGTAGGGTAGGTAACCTTTAACCTTTTTTGGGTAATATAATCCCCTCATAATCCCAAAGGTTAACCTTTACTTCCCCCAGGTTACCGGACAACTAAGTTAGGGTTGTTTCAAGTTTCAAGGTGGCCTACCACCTTGACCTTTGGGCCTTGGGGACTAGCTGAACCCAAATTGAAGGGGTGTTCGGGTCCATACACCATACACCTTAATCAATAGTGAAGAAGGAGAGGAACAATTCACAAATTTTAGGGCTCATTTGATTCCGATGGTATGTTGTTTATTAATCCTAGTTGCAACAGTAGGAACCCCTATTTTCGGAAACCACCAAAGGAGTTCCGGGTAAAGACCAGCCCGGGGCCCCTCCCAAAACAGGCTTAAATCGAGAAGCAGCATGAGCACAACCTCAAAGAAGCCGGCAACATCCTACCACTCGGTGCCCCTAAACCCTTAAACCCTTAAACCCTTAAAACCTTAAACCCGTCAACCCTTAAACCCTTAAACCCTTAAACCCTCAAACCCTTAATCCCTTAAACCCTTAAACCCTTAAACCCCTAAACCCCTAAACCCTAAACCAGACAAACCCTTGACACCCTCGAACCTACTCAAGCTGCCCGACATGAGGCCGGAGCCAGTGAGTGCGCACCCAAGCAGGTTGAGCTAGATCCTTAGGGACGAAGCGGACCCTAAACAGGGTTTAGGCCCATGGACCTAGAGCAGACAACCTCATGCAAACCCTACGCCCTAAGCACATGATCCACATTTTCGGGTTCCAGTGGTCTCCGACAGTTGTGTGAGGAGTGGGTCGAGTCGCGTCTCGAAGGGTGTTAAGTTAGTGGGGTTGCAGTTTTTAGGGGTTTTGGGGTTTAGGGTTTAAGGGGAGGTCTTGGCTAACGTGGTTCTTTGTAGGGAATTAGGTGCCTTTGCTTTGTGTCAGATATTTCTGACGAGAAGTGGTGTCAGTCGTATACAGAGGCACCCTCCTGTGGACCCGGTCAAGGGAGGACCTTGAGAACCAAAGCAACCCTTCACCAATGGTACCCAGAAACCGTAGACTCTTATGTTCTTTATTACCCTGTACTTCCAGGGGTCTGATAATTGTGTCCTTAAGCCTTAAGGGTTCTGGTAACCTAATTCTTAGGCCCCTGGAAGTGTAACGGATCTCATGGCGTATGGACCCAAAATCCTACAAAAAGGATCTTTCAGTCCCCATGATATAGGGCAGGGGAAGATGCGGGTCGGCCCCCGGGTGCGTTTTGTGCGTTGTAATACACTTGAAGGCTCTATAGCGTAGTTCCTTGTTGGTTTATGACCCAACAAAGGTACTACATGCCTTGAAGAAAGAAGGGTTGCCGTAGAAGAAGCTTAGTTGCAGGCGGTTGTTGCTTTTTGGCGCGGATGGCTGGCTGGTTTCGGATGGCCCTCTGAACCCCAAAACATTAAGGGTCTTGGTCAAAGCCGGTACTGAATCGAAGCAATGGCAGCATGCGAGCTTTGACCCTGCTCAAGAAATACCGTGGGTTGTGTGGGTAGAGTATGCCTAAAGGCTCCTATGTCAGGTGGCATGGCATCTAGATCGGTACGGCTCATGGCTGCTCACAAGCCCGATGACCTAGCACTGAGGGGTGAGAGCTGGGAGCTTCCACTCAACACGCAGACCCTAGGTAGACGTTAAGTACTTACAGGCTGGTAGGGGTGAGGCGGCCGTCTTCCCATGTGTTGCGCTGGCGTCGGCCGCGCCAGCACCCTGCGCTGACATGCCGCTGCCGCCAGAAAAGTCTTCCAGGAGATCGGGTTTGCAGTGGTTTGCAGCCACGGGTTCAATTCAGGACAGAGGTTTTGGTTGGAATCGTGCTGAAGCAACTTCCAACTCAGGAAATTCAGAGAACCCGACAAAGATATCCAACTCCTCGTTCGATCATTCTGACAGACGGGTTTTTGTCCGTGCGTGAGTGTCGAAGAGGAGAAATCTAATGGAGAAGATCTCCCTAAGCATCTTCACTAGTTTGAAGTCGCCCGTTTCTGTCTGACAACTCCTCGGCAGTGTTCGCAAAGTCACACTCTGCATGCGCAGGGGGCTGTTCTGCACACCTTGCAGGCGGAAACACCATGCAGCGGATGTTCCGAATGGTACCGGTGGCGGCAGCGGCTTTGGTCGTGGCTTCCTCTCCGTGCGCACGGTCTTTTGTGGCGTGCGCCGGTGGCAGTACCAGGTTAATTTCCCAGGGATGCTTCCCCCGCATGCAGTCTGGCCAGTTTCATGCGCCCTTCATCATGTGGCCCCTTCCCTTGTCTAAAGGGTTCTGAAGTATGGGCCCTTGTGTTTTTCTAGGGTATATAAGGAGCATATAAGGGGTCCCCCCGCCCATATTAGGGGACCATGTATCTACCCTTAGAGACAGGATGCAGGGGTACATTCAGGATAAGGGAGAACCAGACCGTCAACATTCAGGATAAGGGAGAACCAGACCGTCATCTTATCCTACAGACGTTGATGTTCGGCGACGAAGCGGGCGCAAGTGACCACACCGTAAGGATCCATGTACCTACAGTTACATAGTATATACTTGGGGCTTTTAAGGGTTTTCCTAAATATTAGGTGCCATATTATCTATAATCGGGATCCAAAAAGGGACTAGAATTTTGACAACCACCTATAGAGGTACATGGATCCTTACGGGCAGGTCCCTGAGCACAGGCCCGATCCCGTGTGTTGCTTTGATGTTTTGCAACCCAAGCCTTAACAAAAATGTCCCGCGTGTGGCCCCCAAATTAAGATGCAACCCCCGCCCCGCCTGGCCGCCTAGGGTTTAGGGTTTAGGGGTTAGGCCCCCCCCCCCCAAAGGTCGGCACCCGGCAATGGGAGCATTAACAAAGATTGTAGCAACCCTGAAGACCACTTAACAGCCACAGAGGAGTAATGAGTAGGACGAACATTCGACCTGTCAAAGTAGACGTCGGCCAGTCTCCGGTGAGGCGCTCTGTGTGGCGGCCTAAAGCAAGGAATTCTTGGGTCAGGTTTCGACGAGGCCCTTCAGGGCCGGAAATACTGGGTTTAGGGCTTGCAGGTGGAAAATAGGTTTGAACATACTTTTAAAATTTGTTACCCTTAATTCCCTACATAATCTTTGTAGAGCCATAAAAATTCAAGCTTTCATAGGGCCCCCAAACCTACCCCAGTTTAGGGTTACAGGGTTGCGGGCCCAGAGTTGCAACATCGACCATGCAGCGACTCGGTGTCGCACGAGTGCTCGAGGCAACGGCCCGCGCTGCCGCCCGGGTCATAACATGACCGGCCCAAACCCCAGGGTTTAGGCCCTAAACCCTAAAGCCTAAACCCTCAACCCTAAACCCCAAGTATAGACTGTAGGTACATGGAGTCTTAGGGACTTCGGAAAGTCTCCTCCTAGGTGGCCGTTGTCTTCATCATCTGCATCCTGGCCTGCATGGAGATGCAGGGATTTGCTTCGCTGTTCCATGGTATTAGGGTTTAGGGGTTTAGGGGTTTAGGGCTTAGGGCTTAGGGTTTAGGGTTGCCAGGATCCAGAGTAAGCCCTTATTCCCCTTTTGCAGGCTTCATTTACCTGCAGTGGTTATACCTTTCTTTCAGGGTCCATGTACCTATACAATATATGCTTGGGCCTTAAAGGGGTTCCTGCATAGTACGTAGCAAACGGCCCAAGTATATGTTATATAGGTACATGGACCCTTTGTCTAATGCTCTAGGGTGTATCGGGCTAGAGTGTACCCCAGACCCCTGATTCTACTTCCTTGCTTTTGGGTTCGAGGAAGGGGGAGGGGGGTGTTTTATGACGAACAAATCCTACCCAAAGGCTCATATGTAGGACCTTTTTGGGGTTGTATACTAGAATCCCCTATAACTAACCCACAAAGGAACTACATTGGAGCCTCTTTAGGAACACAACAAGGAACAGGAACTCAAGGTGGGGTTGGATATGGGTCCAGGACCCAAGCCCCCCAGCAAAGGTAGTTTTCAGCTGGTCCTTCTCTTCAGCCACACGGACCCTGCCTATGATCCTCGGCTCACGAGTCGGTTAGTTTCGGGTTTTTGTGTCTGGAGTGACAGGATCCTAGTAAGAACAACGGCGGCGGGAGGGGCGCGATCTGACCACACGCAGGGTTTCGTATCTAATGTAGTGCAACCAGCTTAAGGACCTACCAGCGTTGCTTGTGTTCAAGCACCTACACGATTTTTGTTGCCGCTACCTAAAGGCTCCTGTTTAGTACCTTTTGGGGTAGTATGCTAGAATCCCCTATAACTAAACCAACAAGGAGCTGCATTAGAGCCTTCAGGTACTGCCTTAAGATTGGCTCCCTCTTGCCCTCTCATCTTCCTTGTCATGTCAAGTGCATCTGTTTTAGGGTTTACAGTTTAGGGTTGTCTCAGCAGAACATGACCTGGCGGGGTAGGCATGCACCCGCAAGTCTTTCAAGGAACATGCATGCAAACATAAGAATGTGATGTGGTTCTCATAAACCCGAAGGATCCATGTACCTCTACGGTATATACTTAGCCCTTGACGCTACTTTATAGGACCCCCTTGAAAGCCCAAGTATATACATGGTTCGGGGGTCTTACGGTTGAGTGGGTTCGAGTGTGTATATATATATATTATACCGAGCACGGACGAACATGGTTGCACAATCTAGATCCCTTGAGCCCCTACGCGTCTGTGCGCAAAAAACACATGAAGAGCCGCCCAGGAGTCGCAAAGCCAGAATGCTCGGCTGTGGCACTACCTGCAGGCGACCCTCAACCCTAAACCCTAAACCCCACAGTTGTTGTGCTCCAGGTTCATTGTATCCAAGGGCCCGACGTCCTTGAGCCTCCGGTCGCTGGAACAAGGTTTAGGATCAGGGTTGAGGGCGGGGCGGAGGCGGGGGGGCGGGGGAGCTGGGTATCTCGACATATGAGCACAGCAAGTAACAGTCGAAAGACTTATAGAGAGACACCGACAGAGAGAGAGAGAGCGAGTGTGAGACAGAGCGAGGGAGGGAGAGAGAGAGAGCCAGAGTGCAGGTCCATGAGGCCAATTTGACGGCTTTGGCGCTCCAACAGCGAGAGCCACTCGTGATGCAACCGAAATCCGAAACACAATGAATCCTAAGCCAAAGTCCTGTAAACCTGCCCTAAGCCTTGCCATAAAGCAGTGTTTCCAAGAATTGTTTGCGGGAGTCTGCGAAACTGTTCAGCACAGTACTTAGCAAGTTCTTTTGCACGGTTCTGCTCGTCGCTGGGAGTTGGTGCACGCTCTCGGTTCTTTGCATTGCCATTCTGCGTGGACCTTAAATCTTCAAGGCCCCCAAGCCATTTTTCTGCAGGGTTGAGAACAGGCTGCAGATGTAAGGTAAATCCTAAAAGCACCTAGAATCTAGAAACCCTAAGCCCGAAACCCTGCACGATCTCGGTATGGCAAGTCTTGGGCCCTTGTTTCTTGCCTGATTGGGTTTTTTCGAGGCCCTGACCCCTTGGAAACCAGCTGGGATGTAGAGTTAGGGTACGTCATTTACCTGGACAGCACTGTGGCTAAAGAGCTGCTCCCACCGTTTACCCCGTAAAAGAGCATGCCGCAGCTCCCCAACCACAAGTCCCAAGTCCTACAGCACAAACGACCCTGACTTTAGCTGGGCCCTTGAGACTTCGGCTTTTAAAGGGAGTAAGGGCCTACTCTGGGTCCTAGTACACCCTAAACCCTAAACCCTAAACCCTTGGTGAATGAGCGTGGTTCAACTTCCTCGTGCCTGAGGTTGACTCGACTGCTTGGGCAGCTGAACAATTTGCTGGTTGGGCAGCAGTCGCTACATCGCAGGGTTTAGGGTTTAGGGTTTAGGGTTTACGGTTCAGGGTTTAGGGTTTAGGGTTTAGGGTTTCACCCTAAACCCTAAACCCTAAACCCTAAAGGACTTGGCAAAGGGTGCCGCTGGCACCCAACTAGCCCAATAGGTTTACTTGGTAGCCGAGAGGTACCCTTTTCCTTTTTTTGTTCCTTCAAGGTTCCCTCATAAATTAACCAACCCCAATAAAAGGGCTGCCTTATTATACTATGGTTCCTGGGCCACTAAGTTTAGGGTTTAGGGTCTAGGGATTTTGGGGCTGTAACTCTGTGGATCCATGTAACAGTCCATGTACCTTTAAAGGTTCAAGCTACTGTATTGGAACCTTCTGTAAAGTCCAAGTATGTACCATATAGGTACATGGTAATGTGCATGATATAAATAAATCAGCAAACATCAACATATATATAGACATATGTATATGCACTCATATATCACTCCCTTCATGGCTGTGCGGGCTTTCCTCCAATTTCAGCTCCATCCTCTTGCTACTCTTGCAAGACTGGTTTTCTGGAGGCCAACTTGACAACACAGCTTGTGCACATCAGCCAGAGAGTCTCAAGGGGCTCCACCTTCTCGAAATCCATCTGCCCTGTAAGGGTTTAGGGTTCAGGGAACTCCCACCGGCCTTCATCGTCCCAGCCTAAACCCTAAACCCTAAGCCCTGATGTTTACTTGACCTATCGCACGCCAAGGAAAGAGCTCCGCCAAGTGGAGGCCACGCCAATATTTGCGAAACAGAAATTGGGGGTCATATACCCTATACTACTGCAATCCCTATTAGGGTATGGATGGTATATGGACATACTACTGTAATCCCTATTAGGGTGTATGGGCATACTACTGTAATCCCTATGAGGGTATATGGGCATACTACTGTAATCCCTATCAGGGTATATGAACCATAAACCCTGCAGGGTTTATTTGGTCCACAAGGTATGATGTTTCCGGACCTGCGCAGGACCCAGCAGTCCTCCTACCATACATAAGGACCTCGCGGCCCTGTTGTAAAGTGAACTAGAAGGGCCCAGTTGGGCAGATGGGGGTGTGTACTTCCTTTATGCGACAAGCTTACTTGAAGGCTCCTCAATGTAGTTCCTTTGTCGGCTTAGTTCTAGGGCTTCAGCGGGTTCTGAGTACCCAAAGAGCCCCATACCCCTTACGTAAGGAACATACCTTACATGAAATAGGAGTCCTTAGTCTGTTTTAAAGGTACCTTATTTGAAGGGGTATCGGGCTCTTTGGGTACATACAAAGTCTTTGGACAGCTCAACCTCCTCCGCAGCCGTCTGTGAAGTCACCGATGTGCGCCGTCAAAGGGCGACTTGTCTTACTGTCTGTTCCAAGTATTTAGGGTTTAGGGTTTAGGGTTATCGCATGGGGGTTTCTGAAGATACTCCTAAACTAGGATGCAGAGTATTTTGAGACTCCCGGAGGGTTCCTAAGAATGACCCACTAGTAGCATGGGGTTTAGGGTTTAGGGTTTAGGGTTTAGGGTTTAGGGTTTAGGGTTTAGGGTTTAGGGTTTAGGGTTTAGGGTTTAGGGTTTAGGGTTTAGGGTTTAGGGTTTAGGGCCAGGGTTGTTTAGGCTGCTCTTTTGGGGGGGTAGGGGTGCTACTTTTTGGATCCTCCCCGGGCTCTGGGCAGGACCAGCTGTCAAACCCGCCCACACCGCCATCGGCGACCATGCCTGCGGGCGGAGCCGACTCTGCCTTTTGATTTGAGTGAGGGGTTAGGGTTTAGGGTTTAGGGTTTAGGGTTTAGGGTTTAGGGTTTAGGGTTTAGGGTTTTCCGGCTTCCGGGCTTTTGGGGTAGCGGGGAAACACCTCAACCTCCTCTTCTTCTGTGGGGAGCTATGCTGGAAGGCTGAGATCAGCTGTTGTTTGGCGATCTCCCCGAACCGAAGCTGAAGAACCCTAAACCCCAAACCCTAAACCCCGCGGAGCTGCAAGGCAGTGATGCGGAAGATGAGGGAGCTGAAGGTGCAGCACCAGGAAGAGCTGGACAGGCGCTGTGCCTGGGTTTCGGGTTCAGGGTTTAGGGTTTAGGGTTTGGGGCTAGGGCTTAGTGCTTAGTGCTTAGGGCTTAGGGCTTGGGGTTTAGGGCTACTTAGGGCTTGGTGCTTAGGGCTTGGGGTTTGGGGTTCAGGGTTTAGGGTTCAACGCTTCAGGGTGTCGGAGCCTTGATCGGACCCAAAAAAACTGCAGCGCCTTGATTCGACAGGCAATTCCGCGAGATCGCGCAGCTGCAGGCAGGGGCCCTACTTGAAGGTTCATGGTACTTACTAACCAATTGTAACTGTACTTATAACCCTACTTATAATTGGGATAACCCCTAAAAGGCCCTTTAGGGGTATTATAAGTAGGGTTTTAAGTACAGTTATAATTCGTTAGTAAGTACCAGGAACCTTCAAGTAGGTTAACCCCAAGGCCCGAAGGGCTTTTATTTTGTGAAGCCCAGGGAGCCCCATACCCCTTCATTAAAAAAAAAGGCCTGGGAGCCTGAATAGAATTTGAGGTATTTTCCTTAATTAAGGAGTATTGGTCTCTTTGGGGGCTTGGGCCCAACAACCATGCTATATGGGGCTTCAGGCAGTTTTGATCCTACACGGTTACAGGCGGGGAGCGAAAAAACCTGTATACCCCGCCCCCCTCCCCCCCAAAAAACAAAAATCCACAAAAAGTAGTAGACCCCAAGCCCTAAGCCCCAAACCCTAAACCCTGAACCCTTAAAAACCACACAAGCTGCAAGGAAACCCAAAGGATCCATGTACCTCTATAGTATATACTTGGGCCTTAAAGGGGTTCCTATATAGTAGCTTTAGGGCCCAAGTATATACCATACAGGTACATGGATCCTTTGGTAAACCCTAAACCCTAAACCCTAAACCCTAAACCCTAAACCCTAAACCCTAAACCCTAAACCCTAAACCCTACATGGATCCTTTGGGCAAGGGATCGGGTGAGACAGGCCGCAGTGAAAAGCCTGAGCGGCGACACGGCAACAGCACCGCCTGCAACGCCCGCATCAGTGGCCTGGCTCAAGTGTAGGAGGTTTAGGGTTTAGGGTGTTCCAAAGTGCCGCGGTCCCGACCCGCGCCAGTGGTGGCGGGTCGGGCCGCCTCGGTGCAGCGGATCCCACCCCAGCCACCCAAACTGCCGCCTTTTTCGGGTTTAGAGCGGTCTACCCTCCACAGCCCCCCTATCAAGGGGGCTGACCTCGAGTCTCCCCGCTGGCCGGGGTGGGACGTGTTGACTGCTGCTGTTGCTTGAGCCTACACTTTCCTGGATCAACAGGGAGCGGGACAATCTGTTTCACCCATACTGTGTTTAAGACACCCTCAAGCCCCATTCCGGACCCAAGCTCATTCATATGGCAGAATGGCGAGGGCCAAGCGCGGCAGGCCCGGCCACCCACTGGCGCAAGGGCCCTGGCGGGAGCAACTGCCGGGGCGACCCTGGCGGGGGCAACCCTGGCACGGGCAACCCTGGAAGGGGCAAGGCGAGGTTTTTTTGTATTAAAAATACGTCTTATTTCCTTACTGGCCCAAAACCCAACTTTTCAACTTTTGGGCTTCCTATAAGGTAGTTTATTCTGAAAGTTCCAACTTTTATTTCCTTGGGTTTTGGGCCAGTAAGTTTCTCTCTCTACATATATATATATATATATGTCAACCTTGGCGGGGGCAACCCTGGCGGGGCCCTGGCGGGGGTGACTACTAATGGGAAACCCTGGCAATTAATTAATAGAGAACTTTGACAGGGCCCTTCGCACTTGAAGCCCTGCTCGGCAACTAAGCAAAACTTCATAGAGAAGGACGACGAAGCCTCGCCAGCGCGCGAAGAGGACGAGGTGCGTAGGGCCGTCGCAGAGAAGGTGCGCAATTCCTGAGTAGGCGACGTGAGGAGGCGCGGAACCCTGACAGGGCAACCCCTGGCGGGGGCAAGCCTGGCGGGGCAACCCTGCCAAGGGCAACCCTAACTCGGCGGCAACCCTGGCGGGGGCAACCCTGGTGGGGGCAACCCTGGCAGGGGTAAAACTGGGCAACCCGGCGGGGTTGCGATAAAAACCATTAAATCTACTGGACGTCTTAATTTTAAAATAGAATGACATTGAAAGACTTCTCATAAAGTAAAATAGGATGAAAGATAATGAATCCTGCATTTTTATTTGGTACAGCTTTTAGCATAGCATATTGGCATAAGAAATACCATTCAGGTACGATATGTAAGGGAGTAAGTAATCCACATGCTTCTACTGCATTCACTGGATGTGAGAAAGAAGAGAAGCCGAAATGAATTTGAAGAAGATATAGATCGAGAATTAATATCTTTCCATAGAAATCTTCACTAATAATGAAAGGGAAAAATGCCATTTTATTTTTAGTGGAATTCCTTAAAGGAATATTAGAAGATAGAACATGTAGTTTGAAAATATGAAAAATGGCGGGGACAACCCTGGGCATCCTGGCGGGCAACCCTGGCGGGGCAACCTGACAGGGCAACCCTGGCGGGGGCAACCTGGCGGGGGCAACCCTGGCAGAGGCAACCCGTGAGGTATACGCATATATTGATTTCTATATGTCTGGACCCTGGCGGGGGCCACTAATGGAGAACTTTGGCAGGGCCCAAGGACGACGAAGCATACAGGTGCACAATTCCTGAATAGGCGGCGAGGCCAATTTCGGGAAGGCAACCGCCCTGCTGGGCAACTGGTGGGGGCAACCCTCTGGCAGGGGCAACTCTGGTGGCAACCCTGGCGGGGGCAACCCTGGCGGGGAACCCTGGCAAGGGCAACCCTGGCGGGGGCAACCTGGCGGGGCAACCCTGGCGGGGGCAACCCTGGCGGGGGCAACCCTGGCGGGGGCAACCCTGGCGGGGGCAACCCTGGCAGGGGCAACCCTGGCGGGGGCAACCCTGGCGGGGGCTGGCGGGTAGGGGCAACCCTGGTGGGGGCAACCCTGGTGGGGGCAACCCTGGCGGGGAACCCTGGCGGGGGCAACCCTGGCAACTCTGGCGGGGGCAACCCTGGCGGGGCAACCCTGGCGGCGGCAACCCTGGCGGGGGCAACCCTGGCGGGGGGCAACCTGGCTGGCGGGGGCAACCCTGTGGGGGAACCCTGGCGGGGGCAACCTGGCGGGGGCGCAACAGCTTCTTAGGCCCGACCTCCCCCGCCGGGGTCGCGCGTCGGGGGTTTAGGGTTAATCCATTATTACATTGTGCCCTATGGCTAGCAGGGATGCATCAGGTGTGGCAAGCTCGATCTGCTTGGCAAAGCAAGCAGATCTCGAAGCGGTAGCGTTCAGTTGTACCGGCCGCCGCCTGGCGTGGGCGGCCTATGGTTTAGGGTTTAGGGTTTAGGGTTTAGGGTTTAGGGTTTAGGGTTTAGGGTTTAGTTACCCAAAGGATCCATGTACCTGTATGGTATATACTTGGGCCCTAAAGCTACTATATAGGACCCCCTTTAAGGCCCAAGTATATACTATATAGGTACATGGATCCTTTGGGCTATAGGGTTTTTACGGTTTGCAGGATTTATAGGGTCTATAGGGTTTGTAGGGATTAGGGTTTAGGGTTACTGAGCCCAACACACCATCAATGAGGAACATACCCTCAATCCTATTCAGGATCCCAATATTGCTGATGTAAGAGTACATTCCTTAATTGAGGGGGTATTGGGCTCCCTGCAAATGTCCGTATTTCGGCTAACCTATATACCATCAAAAAAGGGGGAAACAAGGTAGTTTAGTTGTAGCTGGTGCCATTCCCTTTTTTGTAAGAGTGTATAGCTCCCGAAGGATCCATGTACCTCTGTAGCATATACTTGGGCCTTGAAGGTGTTCCTATAGCCTAGCGAGCCCAAGTAGATACTACATCTTGGGATGCTCCCCTTATGCCAACAGTCCTTAATAGGGATTATAGTACCCCGATTATAATCCCTATCAAGGGCTGTTAGTATCAGGGGGAACATCCCAGTCTGTATAGGTTGTTCTAGCACTGCAGATTGATGCGTTGGACCGGGCTGTAGGGGGCCTGGCGATGCACAGCCCCGGTGCACAAGTACGTGTCATGCAAGATGCCCAAACATCCCAATACCCCTTGATGAGGAATTGGGCTTTAGGGTTAGGGTGTAGGGTTTAGGGTTTAGGGTTTAGGGTTTAGGGGAATCCAGATAAAATCTGCGGGTGTGTTGCTTAAATGTCTTTACGGACATCGGTTTGTTCGTAAACTGCCCAGCTAGCGGATTCGAGGCCGCGATGCAGAAAAGAGAATCCCAGCTGCAAAAACGGGGTTGAGGGTTTAGAGTTTTGCATGTTTAGGTTTAGGGTTTCGGGTTTAGAAGGTTTAGGTTTAAGTGTTGGGGCAAATGCACGACCTGTTGGCCACGTCGCTCTGCTCTCCGGACCACCCAAGAGTCTAGGTGCCCGATAGGCCAAAGATCAGACATGTACCTGAGGCCCTAAACCTACCAATAGATTCCTTCAAGGCCTCAGTATGTCCTGCATAGGCTCATGGGCCCTTTGGGAATGAAGCTGCAACTAAGGTGGAAAGCACGCCGCCCGAGATGTCAGCAAAGCCGGCGCCAGCGTTAATAGAACCAGGCCGGGTCGACGTAGGCCGGCCTGTCTTTGCTCTAAACCCTAAACCGTAAATCCTAAACCCTAAGCCCTAAACCCTACTTGGGGGTTACACAACACAAGGGGGTACCTTATTGGGGGTCCTTATGGCTTTTGAGTGGCGAAAAACCAGAATATTCGGGGGAATCGACCTGAGCCCGGTAGGATCAACCCTAGACTGCCCTCCCCCAAAATTCAACGCCCTAAGCCCTAAACCCTAAACCAAAGGATCCACGTACCTGTATGGTATATACTTGGGCCCTAAAGCTACTATATAGGACACCCTTTAAGGCCCAAGTATATACTATATAGGTACATGGATCCTTTGGGTATAAACCCTCAACCTAAAACCTCAACCCTAAAGACCGAGTGGCCAACAACAGACCTAAGCTCCGACGGGCGCGGGCCCGGGAGTGGGAGGCACCCCCAAGGTTGTACCCCTAAAGGTTCCCCTTAATAGACTGCTAATCTGGCCCTTCTGCTGCCTTACTGATAATAATCGCAACCCTACGTCTGCACCCTTTAAGCAGGGGAAAGGAACCTGAGTTATTGGGTATGTAACGTACCTGTTTTGTGAGTTAGCGAGGTTGCTCTTAGGCAAAACCATGTCGTATACCTCATGCTAAGTTCAACGCGTTCTTTAGTATGATGTAAGGCATACTCCTCAATAAAGATGCAAAAACGGCTTGTTGGCCGGAAGTATAGTTTTGCCACCGGTGGCACAGGACCTGAGCTCACCCGCAGCCCCTCCGACAACGGCGAGACCCAGCTGCATGGTGATCGTTCTTATTCCATCTTCTGTGTCTGGGCTTTAGAGGCTGGCGCAAGAAGTGCTAGACGTGGGATGTCGGGTCTGTCCTTAAGCCTAGCGGTGTCATTGCCATCCGTCCGCCACTGTCTTGCCAAGCTTGAGAGCGAGGCCCTAAACCCTGCCTATGGTATCCTGTCTGTTCTTAAATCAGGATCAGTACCAGTCTACTTGAGGTCAAGGTCGAAAACTGTGAGGCTAAGTGCCCTTGTCAATACGGCGCCTTGATTTCGTTGGGCTCTGTGCTTTGCAAGCACGATTGACTGGCAGACGTGGGAATTGCACCCAGATATGGACATCTTTCCCCGGAAGTAACAGCCCAGCTATGTGAGGCTATGTGGGTGACTCGCGATACTGCCTCATTTGTTCATATAACCCATTGTGGTAACTCATTTCAAGTTCCCGACATACGAAAACCCCAAAGACTGACAGACACTGCTGCAGGAGTGGCCAGAACAGTGGCTGCGACGCTTTACCGCCTCGGATCTGGAGGCATGAGCCAAGAGTGCTCACGGGTCAGGGTTTAGGGTTTAGGGTTTAGGGTTTAGGGTTAGGGTTTAGGGTTATATTGGTTGGTAGTCCGGCAGGGTTTCTGTTTTGTAGGGGGGTTCTTATTGGGGTATCTAGGGGCTATATTGAGGTATAAGGGTAACAGATACAGAGGCCACCGGCCTTTGAAAGGTCAGGGTGTTTAGGGTAGGGCTTTTCCTAGCTCAGCCTTTACTGTATTGTACTTTTATTGGGTTAGCGTACCTTTTTTATGGGTGTCCAAGGGATGGGCTACTATACCCCATCCCTTAGGCATGCCCTTGCTGGGCCGTAGCTCGACAGTATCTAGAACCCAATTACTTGTACAGTAGTTCTTGTTTGGAGGGGCGCGTGGAGGAGGGGTACAAGTTTGCCCTAAACCCTAAACTCTAAACCCGCTTAAACCCTGGTAAGTGATCCCAGAGGAGGTCTGCTAGGCGGCCAAAAAAAGCCAACAGGTCAAACACAAATCAGGTAAAGTAGAAATTATTTTTCAGGTAAAGCATTTTCAGGTAAAACAGATTTCACCTGGTAAGCACACGGAAGTGCTTTGGTGGTCTGGGTAGGTCCGGAATCCCTGAATCTTCCACCGCTCAACACGATCAACTCAAGGGTTAGGGTTTGGGTTTTGGGTTTTGGGTTTAGGGTTTAGGGTTTAGGGTTTTGGGGGGTCACGCGCAGGCTGAAGCGCCTTGGCGCGTGTCAAGCAGCAGCCGCTATTTCCAAGACTAGCCCCTCATAGTCCCTCTGTTATGTAGGTATGGCAAACACCCACTTGGACAGCTAGTCTCATTAAATAGGGGGCCCCACCCTACACTTATTAATGTTGCTTCCACGTCAAGTTTGCAGCATGAAGTTGCGCACATGGAACACGTAGCCCATATAGACCAATTAGTAGCCCAGTGCCACCCTTTACCCTTTTTCTTTGGTTATGAGTTCCCTTATAAAGTGACCAACCAAAAATAGGGTGCCCTTATGATAATATGGTTACTTGGCTACCAAGTCTCACAGTTATTGGTTCCACCAATGTACCAGGGTCATGGCGCTCAGAGTCCATACACCTGAACTCGTACCACCCCCCGCCCCAAACTCCGAAGCGTATTCTGCTTCGTGCAATGCCGGACAATCTTTCGTGTGTTTGGTCGCCCCCCCCCCCCCCCCCCCCAGGTATCCCAAGAAACCTCAAGTATCCCGAAGTGGTGCTATTCTGGTTCAGGTTTTTTTTCTGTAGGGTTTGTCGTGAAGAGGGGATCTTCCTACAAGAGAGGGTCCCTTACCCCAAGTGCAAGGCCTCAGCCAAAGAAGCTGAGCAGTGGCGAGTCATGGCCAGGCCCGGGGCGGGGGGGGGGGGGGTGAGGGGTCGCTCTTAACCTTGTGGTACTTTGCCGTAACTTTAGATCCTTACCCTTTTTGGGTTCATTGGGTTTCTTAATAAGGCAGCTAAAAGTTTAATGTATAGCTACCATCCTGAGTGCAGCCAAGTTAATATAGGTATTCTAGAGCCCAGAGTTGCAGGAGCGTGGTTCTGGAATCCCTTAAAGCCTTAAAGTCCTAAAACCTGAAAGCCTTGATGGCCTAAACCCAACACCCTGTAAACCCGTCAAAGCCTTGAAATCCTAAGCCTCACAGCAGCCTAAGAACGCATCAAGTGCAAGCTCAACAGAGTAGCGGGATATAGGCGATAAAAAAGGGGCAAGACTGTCACGAAGAATCTGCCAGCGACCCGCCTGAATAGCGCGACATGACGGGGCTCTGCTCTCAGGTTGCAGAGTACCACGGAGAGCAGTCTCCAGTTTTGTTGTAGGATGTAAAGCAGAATAGTCATAATCATAATCAAAATAATTGTAGAATTAATAATAGTAATAATAATAATAGCAATAATAATAATAATAATAATAATCATAATTACATGGCCCCTCAGTGTGGTCCCTTGCCTTCTCGAAAGGTTTTCTCGGGTGTATCAGGGGTATAGAAGGGTTGCCCCACTTCCGGGCCCATGTTACCATGTAACCACCCTACGACAACAAGTATATAGCCACGGCGACTTGCCAGCTCGGTACCCCAAACCCTAAACCCGAAACCCTAAACCCTAAACCCTCCAGAGGGTGTCTAGGGCTCGGCTGGCCCTTCTTATTCCCGTTTTTTCGAGTTCAAGGTTTAGGGCTAAGGGTTAGTAGGAGCCAGAGTAGGCCCTGATTCCGCTGTTTTTTCGGGCGTAGGCTCCCTGAGATGAGACGCCCTCTTTAAACCAACAGGGGCACCTTGTGTGTTCCTAGGTGAACTCTTGGGTCTAGGTTTAGGGCTGGGGGTTGAAGGGTTTCGGTTCACCCATCAGCCAACTATGCCAGTAGATAGAGCGCATATTGACAATTCAAAATGTGAGCTTCTCGGCATTTCTCATACACGTGATGTTAGATACCCTCCACTAGATCTTATATGAAGGTTCCAGTAGTGTAGTTCCTTCTGGAGTTAGTTTTTTCTGAGATTCTAGAAGACTACCACCTAAACCCTGCACCCTAACCCTAAACTCTCAAAAGCCACTACATACGAGCCTTTGGGGAATCCAGCCGCTGCAGACAGGAACGCGGCAATCCATGCCTGGAAGGGGTACCGTGACCGAGCGTGGGGCAAAGATGAGCTGAAGCCCGTCTCAGGCCTGCTACCCAGGATTTATAGGATTTAGAGTCGAGAGTTGAGATTTTAGGGTTTAGGGTTTCGGGTTTAGGGTTTAGGGCAAACCCTCAGCCCTCAACCCTCAACCCTACCCAGAATGACCTTTCTACCCTATGTTTGTTAGAGATTGCCCTGTCAAGGGAGAAATACCTGAATCGTTGGGTAAAAGTCATATTGGCCCTTTTGTAAGGTATACAGGTTACTTTATTAGGTAGGGTTAGGGTGTCGGGTTTCAGGTGTAGGGTTTGGGTTTTAGGGCCCAGTCCTTGGTGGATTTCATGTTCGCGTCTTTACACCCAGCCTGCGCTCGCGTGCAGCAACGCCTGGGTTCAGGGTTTAGGATTTTGGGCCTGGGTCCTGTCCCAGATTAGGTGTGCTTAGGGACCAACTGGCTGACTTTGAACCTTCTGGGGTACATACAACCCTACCATAATTGAAAGGTTAGCCTTGTTTGGGCCAGGGTACTTGGCAACTAGGGGGACCCCATACCCTCAACCCTCGACCTCCTACGGGCTCTGCACCCTAAATCCTAAAACCTAAACCCTGCAAACCGCTTTAGCCTATAAACCCCAAAACTATACACACCCCTTAAACCCTATGAACCTGAGACCTAGGTTCATGGGCACTTGTAAGTGCGTAGGGTACTCATAATCCTAGTTCAAAGTACCCATGAACCTGCAAGAAAGGCCTTCTCTACCCTAAAGCCGCTCGATTGAAACAGGCCAGACCACTGAAAGCCGCGTGCGGGTTCACGGTTTAGGGTTGAGGGTGTAGGGTTTAGGGTTTAGGGCTAGGGCTTTAGGGTTTCGGGATAGGGGTTTAGGGTTTAGAGTTGCAAGTTCAGAGGTAAATCGCATGGTTGGCACAACTTCTGACTATGAAGCCTCCCCCTGGCATGTCCGAGCGGATTGAGCCCCCAAACCATGTAATTGAGGAGTCGGAATGATTACTATTAGTTTTCCCCTATGGCCCCTATAGAAGTAGGCAAGTATGCCATGGTGACCCCGAAACCCTATTCTACTTGCAAACCCCAAAAGCGCCCTACTTCTTACTCCCATATGAAGGCATAAACCCCTTGAATCATAGTAAGGATCCCGAGTACATGGTCAGTGCGCAAAATCTCCTTTTTTGGGTAACCGAAATATTCGGGGCCGCCTGGCCACCTTATCACAGTAACCCCAAAAACGGCCAAAATTTGGAGCAGTGACCATAAATGTTTCCGGTTTATTCCTTCCCTAAACCCTAAGCTGTTTCCAAAAGAGCCCTTCATGCCCCGAACTGAAGGTCCATACCTCCAGAGGGTTTAGGGTGTAGAGTTTAGGGCTTAGGGTTTAGGGTATACATCTCAGGTGGAAGGACCCAGAGGAGGCCCTTATCCCTGGGGGGGCGTGAGGTTCCCTCATAAGCCCCTGTGAACCGAAAAGGTTACCCTAATTCTTCCCAGGTTACTCTTGGGTCACCTTAGACCCTAAACCAAAAACCCCCTAAACCCAAAGCCCTAAACCCTAAACCCCTTTTATTCATCGGGAAATTCCTTATTAATAGGGTTTAGGGTTTAGGGTTTAGGGTTGTTAAAGCCCCGAAGATATGCAAGGTGCGGCTGGGCGGATATGGGGCAACACGGGGCTCCAGAGATTTGGCGCAATTCGCGGTTTAGGGTTCAGGGCTTAGGGTTAGGGTTTAGGGTTTAGGGTTTAGGGTTTAGGGTTTAGGGTTTAGGGTTTAGGGTTTAGGGTTTAGGGTTTAGGGTTTAGGGTTTAGGGTTTAGGGTTCAGGTTCAGGGTTTAGGGTTTAGGGTTTAGGGTTTAGGGTTTAGGGTAGTTTAGGGTTTAGGGTTGAGGGTGTTGAAATTGAGCATTGTAAGCAAGGGTCTTGATTCAAGATGCGCGGACATGTACGAGGAGCATCGCCACCGATGGTGGCTCAAGGGCGAGCAGTGAGAAAATGTAGGGAGCCCGTGCGTGCGAGAGAGGGTCTTTCGGGACTGTCTGCTCTTCAGTTGGTAGCGTTGAGCCGGGTTGACGATGGCCACCCTGGACTCATTAGATGAAGGCGAAGAAGCAAGGCAGCGACATGAAGAACCTTCTCTTCACGACATCCCCCCTCATGACTCAGTCGCCCCACTTGCAGATGAACCATCGTGGCACGACACCGACTGGAATGGCTCGAGCCGACCGTGGAGTGCTCGGAGCTGGAACAGCGGCTGGTGGTACGGCGGCTGGGGCAACTGGTATGGCACTTCGTCTTCCTGGGCGAGGAACGCTGAGGGCCCCTCAGATGGAGAAGCGACTGCGACTGCGGGTCAGACCGCGAGTCCCGAGCTCTCAGCAGCAGGAGGGCCTGCTGGCCAAGGAGCTCAGCAGCAAGCATCTTCGTCTGGCTCGTCTCGAGATCCCTGGGCGGCGGCGGCAGCGGCGATTATGGCGGCGGCAGCGGCGGCCCGGGAAGCGGCACCAGGAGATCCTTCTCGTGTCCATCAAGGCCACGATTCTCGCGGTCCTCTCGAAGTTTCGCATGGACCTCGCGACGAAGCAGCGGGCGTAGTCCAAGGATCCCAGGCCGATCCGTGGAGTTCTTGGAGGTCAGCGCAAGGATGGAGGACTTCTGGGGACTGGGAGCCTTGGTCATGGAACCGAGGACACGGAGCTGGGCCAAAGCCAGACCTTTCTGATCCCCCCGCGTGGCCTGGTTGGCCATACCGGCGTTTCTGGGTGCAGGCTGTGAAGCGTTGGGACAAGGCCACTGATGTGGCGATTCATCGTCGAGCTGAGAAGATACTACGGTCCTTGGGATGGGAGATGGCCGCGGACTTCGAACATCTTCTAGAAAGTGAATTGGTCGCGGCCGACTACTTGGACAAGATTTTAAAGATCATCGAGGCGAAAGCAGGAGTCCGAGAAGATGACGACCGACGTCGAGCCTACCGCGCCATCTTCGTCGACTCCCACCGGAAGAAGGACGAAACGTTGAGCCAGTATGTGTTGCGTCGCCAGCGAGATTTTCACAATGGTCAGGCGTATGGGCTGGTCTTTCCCGACAACCTGAAGGCGACTTTGCTGAAGGAGGGTGCTGGTCTTTCCGAGCAAAATCTTCAGAACTTGGCGGCCCTTCTTGGTGGAGAAGACGGAGATCCTGACCGAGTGGGCCGAGCACTGGCGAAGCTGGACGTCCGGTCAGACCGGCTGACCGCCTATGAAGTGGCCGGCGAGAACTCTGGGGAGACCTCCAACTACGCGTCTCTGCGAGGTGATGCGGACGAGGGCGAATCCTCGGAGATGGATGAGGAAGAGGTCCTCGCCGACTTGGAGGCCCTCGACCTTTCTGAAGACCAAGTGTGCGAGGTGTACGCTGTCCTGTCCGGAGCGGATCGAAGAAAGCGGACTTGGAAGGAGAACAAACTCTTCAAGGCTGAGCTCCGGAAAGATAGGACATCCTTCACGAAGGGGGCACCGCCTTCTGGAGATCATCCTCGTGGTCGGCAAGACGGTGGAAGTGGAGGTCATCCTCGTGGTCGGCAAGATGGCGGAAGTGGAGGTCGCGATCGACGCATGAGCAGAGAACAGCTGAAAAAGATCTCCCGATGCCGGATATGCAACAAGAAGGGCCACTGGGCGGCTGAGTGCCCAGAGAAGGGAGCATCTAAGGCTCCTGTCAGCGCTTTCAGTTTTGCTGCACAGCCTCCGTCTGATGCTGTGGCTTTTTCCTTCATCTCTAGGACCGAGTGGACGAGGTTGCTGTGGAGCATCGGGCCGTCTGAGAATGCGAATGGCACTGCTTCATGGAATTTCCTGGCCACGCCTGAAGGACATGCGATCCTCGACATCGGTGCAACGCAGGACTTGATCGGGATGAGCGCGTTTCGGTCTCTCAAGGAGTGCCTGGCGAACGCAGGTCTGAAGCCCATCAAGGTGGATGCTCCCTATGCGATCCCAGCTGGGATCGGAGGAAAGGCGACTGTGGACCATGTTGCGTTGGTGCCGATAAGCCCTGGAGGACGACCTGGTGTTCTTCAGATGCTGGTGCTCAAGGAGGACATTCCTCCCCTCCTGAGCGTTGGCTTCTTGGACTTCCTCGATGCCCAAATCTTCCTGAGCCAGGACCGAGTGCGCCTCGGTCGTTTTGGAGTCGACCTTCCCCTCAAAAGGCTTCCCTCGGGACACCGGACCATGTCGCTCATCGGCTGGTCGAGTGGCATTTTCCCGATTCCGGACGACATCAAGTCCAAATTCGGTTTGGGCGACGGAGCCTTCCAACTCAATGTGCTCCCCTCCGCGTATATGAAAGAGTCCTTTGTCGAGCCCAGCTGCACATTGAGTGATGTCGAAACTTGTGTGCTCACCACATGTGATGTTGAAGAGTCCCTCGCAAGCTCGGATGTAGGAAGCACTGGGGCCCTTTCTGGAGCGCATGAGGTCTGTGGGTGCAGTACACGACACGATTGGGATGAAGGTAGCAAAGCATGCCCTGCGACCATGAAGCCCAAAGTCTCACAGGAGAGCTGCGTGGTTGAGTTTGTGGAGCAAACCATGAGGTCCCCGTCGTGTGCTTCGCGTGTCGGCTCTGATGAGACGCCTGAGCAGAGGCCCAGCCCTGCTGAACCAAATTCGATTGGCCTCCTTGTCGGGCATGGACTCGGGGGCGCTGCTGCAGACCTCGACGCGGCGATGGCGGGCGCTCGTCACTCGTGTGATGTTGGCCATGGAGTCCACTCGACTGATGTTCTTCAAGATGGCGATGACCGAGCGCTCAAAGAAGGACCCAAAGGGGAGAATGAAGTACGTCCTGGCGCCTGGAAGTGCTCCCGGAGGGTGTCTTCATCCGACCAACAAGGTGATCAGCCGTGGGAACCAGTGGGCGTCATGGCAGGTATGCACGCAATGCGACACCAGGATCGCCTATGGCCCGAGGTCCCGTCCGAAAGGGAAGGCAAAAGCCAAAGCTCGTGGTCAGGCGGCAGCAGAAGAGGTGGAGGCGACAGGCGTCGGGTATCCTTCAGCCTGGAGCACATCGACGACGTCCTCCCCATCTCCGGCGAATCCGACGTCTCCTCCAAGGACATCCAGGACTTCAACCTCAATGGCGTCATCAGACATCCACGAGATGAACTCCATGATGATGCAGTTCGTAAGCGGGATGCAGCGCCAGAGCGAAGCAATGACTGCATCAATGGGCCAAATTGGAATGTCTCTGCAGGAGCTGGCTCGGGGACAGACCCAACTCTTGACGCTGATGCAGGGCCAAGGGAATCGGGCAGCAGTCGAGGAGCCTTGGAGCCGAGAGCAGATGCGCCGTCAGGCCCACGCATTGGCGGCGCAGGCGATGGAGGTCGAGGAATCGGACGACGAGTGGGGACAAGTAAATCCCAACCTGGAAGATCAGCCTCCGCGGGCATGATGTGGCCTCTGTGGGTTACCTCTTCGATGATGTCCTTGACGTCAGCTTTGGCTTATCACCAGTGTTCTCCCGAGGCAAGGAAGCTGATCGAAGGACTGGGAGGAAACGAGCAGACATGGATCGTCGGCGACCACCTCATGATGGGGAACCCGGACAAGGATCGCTCTTCTATGGCCTTGCCCGCACTACTGGAAGGTTTTCGGCACGAGTTGGTGGAAGCCTCAGACCTGAGAGATGAGACGAGTGCGTGGATCCCAGTTTGGCATTCTCAGCAGGCAGCGGATGGCTCCCTTATGCGCCAGGGTCCCGGAGCACCAAGAGAAGAGTCCGAAGAGTCCTGCAGAACGTGGTATGTCCCGAAGAAACTATGGCAGCTGTGCAGTTTCCTGGAAGGCGACGTCGAGATCAGAAGGTTTCCGGCCTTTGACGAGGATTTCCCCTCTGCGCGAGCCTGGACAGTCACTCCTAAGCATCGTGACCGATATCCCTCATGGATCTCCGAGGAGCTTTTCTCAAGTCCATCGTGCTCTACTCCTTCAGAAGTTGCTGAGATGTGTCAGAAGGTTTTCGTCTCTTACCATGGAAACTCGGATCCTGTGGGCCGGGACTCGGTGTCTTACATGGAGGTCTTCGTTCGGACGTCAGTGCCACAAGCTCTACAACGTCAAGGGTGGAAAATTCCCGAGCAGGAGGATCTTTCACCGCCCAGGATGGATGGCACTTCACGAAGGCGGAGCATCGTCAACGATGTAGAGATTTTCTACGAGATCACAGACCGGAGGTGCTCTTCTGTGAGGTGAGCCCGATTCTCTCAGCGAGCGAAGGGACCTCCCGTCTCCACTCTAGACTCAAGGAGCTCTTTGTCATGGAACTTGTTCGGGATCAGGAACAGCATGGGCGCATGTTCGGCCTCGAAGTTGATGAGAGCATGTGGTCGGATCCGATTGGCCCATGGAAGTCGTGGCACGAGCGCAGGGATCTATGGGTGGAGACGAGCCATGGAAGGGATGGCGGTCGAGTTTACATCACCAACTTCGCAACTCTGTCCTTGAGAGAGAAGTCGGCAAGGCAAAATGGGCAGAGCGCTGAGGGCTACATGCAAAGGTTGGAGTCTGAGCTCTCTGACATGGAGAGGTGGAGCTGTGGGAGTCGACTGGCAGCCGAGGAAAAGCTCGCTAAGTTTGTGCTCGACCAGAAGGACTTCTCAGTGATGACCTGCGAGAGAGTGATTCGAGCC